AAAGACCCGCGACCCGCGGCCAGCACCGGGCCGAGCGGGAAGAGTTTTGGATTCGGGGGAAAGAGGTACGAGAAGGGTTCTTCGAGTGCGCCGCCGCCTAAGAGGAGTAAGTCGAGGCCGTCTCCGTCGACTGCCGCTAGCAACTCGAACAGAACGAGGAGCCACCCGCAGTGTGTTCAGTGTGGTAGGCATCACCCGGGCGAGTGTTGGCTCGCCCAAGGCTTATGTTTGGGTTGTGGTCAGCCAGGGCATTTCAGGAGGCATTGCCCGACAAACCCTAGCAGCGAGCCTGCTTTACCTAGAGCTCCGGATCAGCCTGCCGCATCACATCCAGCACGGAGTCAGCAGTCTATGGCCGCAAATAATCAGCAGAGACCACGTCCGCAGCAGTATGGCCGGGCACTAGCGCGTACCTACGCCATGCATGGGCGCACAGATCCTAGTCCCGATGTTATCTTGGGTACGTTCATACTATTTGATTCGGTTATGCATGCCTTGATTGATCCGGGTTCTACGCTCTCCTATATCTGTGTTGGCATGCCTGCTAATTCTGCGATTGTGAGGAGTGACCTTGATATGCCTACCATTGTATCGAATCCGCTAGGACATAGCATGCGTCTTCATCACATTTATCATAGATGTCCGTTGTCCGTGCAAGGGAAGCAATTCCCTGCAGATTTGATAGAGCTACCACACAAGGAGTTTGACATTATCCTTGGTATGGATTGGCTCACTGAGCATAGAGCAGTGGTCGACTTCAGTTGTCGGACCGTACGGCTGAGAGCCGAGGACGGTAGCGACGTATTACTCTCCGGGGAGGTGTTCCCCAAGGCTCCCGAGTTCATATCATCCTTGAGCGCGAGGCGCTTGATTCGCAAGAAGTGCGAGATGTTCCTGTGTCACGTTCAGGATATGCGAAAAGAATCGCCACGTCAGCAGGACATTCGTACGGTTTGCGACTTCCCCGATGTCTTTCCCGAAGACCTACCTGGTTTGCCTCCGCCGAGAGAGGTAGAGTTCTCGATCAATCTCATTCCGGGTACGGAACCCATATCTGCTACACCGTATCGTATAGCACCTGCCGAGATGAAGGAGTTGAAGGCTCAGTTGCAAGAGCTACTAGAAAAGGGATTCATCCAACCTAGCGTTTCCCCATGGGGAGCACCGGTGTTATTTGTTCGAAAGAAAGATGGATCCATGAGACTTTGCATCGACTACAGGCAGTTGAACAAAGCCACAGTGAAGAATCGTTATCCGTTGCCTCGCATCGACGACCTGTTCGACCAGCTCAGAGGGGCTACAGTATTCTCGAAGATTGATCTGCGTTCTGGATACCATCAGATTTCCGTTAAGAGAGAAGACATTCCGAAGACTGCTTTTGGAACACGCTATGGGCATTATGAGTTCTCAGTCATGCCTTTCGGATTGACTAATGCCCCGGCAGTGTTCATGGAGCTTATGAACAGTGTGTTCCGACCATACTTCGACCAGTCTATAGTAGTGTTCATCGATGACATCTTGGTTTATTCACGGACTCAGGAGGAGCATGCTAAACATTTGCAATTGGTTTTGAGTGTGTTGAGAGAACACAAGCTGTATGCAAAATTGTCTAAGTGTGAATTCTGGTTGAGTGAGGTGACATTCTTAGGGCATGTTATCTCTGCCACCGGTATCCAGGTAGACCCCAGCAAGATTTCAGCCATAGTGGATTGGAAGACTCCGCGGAATGTTCGTGAGGTGAGGAGCTTCCTTGGGTTAGCCGGTTACTATCGTCGATTTGTTAAGGGCTTTGCCTCGATCGCTACTCCATTGAACAAGCTACTGCGTAAGGACATCAAATTTGAGTGGACAGAAGCGTGCGAGCGCAGTTTTGATCAACTGAAAGAGTGCCTGACCCAGGCACCAGTCTTGATTCAACCTACTCCTGGCATCGAGTATACCATCTATAGTGACGCATCTCATAGCGGCTTAGGTTGTGTACTGATGCAGTTGAGTAAGGTAGTGGCCTACGCATCGAGACAGTTGAAAACTCACGAAGAGAACTACCCGACACATGATTTAGAGTTGGCAGTCGTGGTGTTCGCCTTGAAGATTTGGCGCCACTACATCTTTGGAGAGAGGATTCACATCTTCACCGATCACAAGAGTTTGAGGTACCTACTCACCCAGAAGAAGCTGAATCTTAGACAACGCCGATGGTTGGAGCTGATCAAGGATTACGATTTAGTCATTGAGTATCACCCGGGCAAGGCTAACATCGTGGCCGATGCTTTGAGCAGAAAATTGTTAGCCGAGCTACAGCTTCAGTCTCCGTTAGAGCAGGAGATCCGTACAACACAGAGAAATGATGAGTTTTGTCAGAAGACTCGAGAGTTAGTTCCTACAGGAAAGAGGCCCGACTTTGCAATTCGCGATGACGGAGTCTTGTACTATCGTGAACGCCTAGTGGTGCCCCACGGTGAAGTGAGGGATCACTTGTTACGCGAGGCTCACGGAACCGTTTACACTATGCACCCGGGTAGTAACAAGATGTATCAGGATTTGAAGAAATCCTATTGGTGGCCAGCTATGAAAAAGGAAATCTCCGAGTTCACTACACGTTGTTTGACTTGTCAGCAAGTCAAAGCTGAGCACCAAGTTCCGACAGGGTTGCTGCACCCTCCTACCATTCCGGAATGGAAGTGGGAAAGGATCACTATGGACTTTGTGATAGGATTGCCACGATCTTCACGAAAGAATGACGCCATCTGGGTCATTGTTGACAGGTTGACAAAGTCCGCTCATTTTCTACCCGTCAGACGTGACTCTTCCTTGGACAAATTGGCAGACTTATACGTTAGAGAGATAGTTCGGTTGCATGGTGCACCGCTGTCAATCATATCTGATAGAGATCCCCGGTTCACTTCGAAGTTCTGGAGAGGACTTCAGAAGGCTTTTGGCACAGCTTTGAACCTTAGTACGGCATTTCACCCTCAGACCGATGGCCAGTCTGAGAGGGTGATACAGATTGTCGAGGATATGATGCGAGCTTGTGTGATCGACTTTGGAGAAGATTGGGAGCGTTACTTGC